CGAAACGAAAGATGTTTGAAAGTCTCAATGCTTTAAAAGAAATGGTTAGCATGCAGCGTGCAACCATCGAGTTATGGATGCACTTGGGAGGTTTGCTAAGCACTCAACAAGCTAGAGTCGCACTCGGCTATCACCCGGCGGGCGACTCTTACGCTTCTTTCGTGCTTAGCAACCTCCCGCGTGCATCCAAAACTCGATGGTTGTACGCTGCACGCTAACCATTTCTTAAACATTAACTGACCGAAACGAATTAAGTACGTTAAGTTATTCTAGAAATCTTCTTTAAATTCTGTCTTAATCCTTTTAAAGCATAGACTAAAACCATACGATTTCACTGTCGACTAGACAGTCTACTTTCTTAGTTGGAACACCGCGAAACAGCTTTGCCTCGTATAATTCTAAGATGTTTAAACAGGTTCCTTTGCCGTTTTGCGCCTATAAAATATCATGTTGAAATATGTTATGGATAAAGTCCGTCTTTTATGACATGACACCATTAAACAGAAAACAAAAAAGATTGTATTTAGGCTAATTTTCTGTGGCAGGTCTTAATTTCTATAACACTTTGCTTTTATTTTAATTTTTTTATTTTTATTTTATATCACTTTCTCAGCATGATCGTATCTTCAAGAAATAAATTTTCAAGCAAGAATAGATAGAGGCTAAAGATTGCATAATTATATCCAGCAACATCATAAAGTATAAATAGTGTAGAAAGTATATAGTAGGGTATTTTTTGCTTGAGTTTTATCCATCTGTACCTCTACACGTCACCCCGTCACGATCCAATGAGAAACCTGGTCTGCATGAGCAAACCCGTCCATCGCGTGTCTGGGAACATCTATCAGTGCATCCCCCATTGTTTACAAGACAAGGGCCAGTGACAGCTGTTTGGAAGAAGATAAAAACAAAATGTACATTTGGCCATATTTTCTTCGGTTTTGTCCATATTGCATTCCAAAGTTTTGCCGAAATCCATCCAACCTTCTATAGGATAAACTTTCGGAAACAAAACTTATGACGTCACTGTTGGCGAGCTTAAAGCAGGCAATTTGAATTCTTTTATGGTTTTCTCATTAAAGTTTTTCGATAAGAGACGTGTGTGCTTATCATAATAATTATAACCTTACCTCTAGATTCGGCAGTATACGCAGCAGCAAAGCCAGAGTGCTGAACAGATTGATCCGTGACAAACTTCACAAGGAGTTCATTGGTAGAGGAGCGGATCTGGGAGGGTAGATCATCACCACAATGCTTTCCAAGCTTCGGAAAGTCCGTCCCTGGACCGTCATATACTTCAATATAGTCATAGTCACAACCTGCGTGGGGATCAAAAGCTAAATTACCGAGGAGCAGAAATCGTACTGTACTCGGAAAAAAATTCAATATTATTGAAAAGAGGCTCCTAAGTGCGAATTCTATCTATAACACACGCATTTGAGTACGTTCTCGGTGTACAGCGCTAAGTTTACAAATGAAATCGAAAGCGATAAGCAACTGAAACGCTGTGTGCCATGCAGAAGTATTTAGAACAGATAAAAAAAAAACTGTCACTAATCTTATCTTTTCACAGCACACTCTCCTAGCTGTTGCCTATGCCCTTTTACAGAATTGAGCATATGTATGCTGAAGTGCTTTCCCCTTGAACTAAGTGCGTTTTTAAGGTGGTTCAGTCAAACCATCGAATCTATCGAGCCCCAAAGCGCCGAACGAAAAGATGTTTTCATGCTTCAATCTACCTTCAATTTTCAGAGCTCCTCTCTTGATAACAGAGCTTACAGTATCAAGATTGAGTTGCAGTTGTCATGGAGACGAAAAACCGTTTCCGAACTTCTGCTGTTTCGGCAGAACTTATTGTCACGAATGGGTTAACACTCACCTCCAGAAGCTTCTAAGTCAAAGTGCGTAAAACGCAAAGACACAAGTTTTTCCTTCGGGACACAGATAAGGTAGGAACAATCCAACGANGAGGGGATGTAAGTGATTATTATTATTATTATTTTTTTATACAATGCAGAGAAATGATATGCTAACGTATAGTATCTTGTTTCATCCTGAGAACTCAATGAGAAATTACCCGATAGGATTAAGCGCACCTAATTTGTTCAAATCGAGATATTTTCGCCCACTATATTCGGGAATTACATCAATGTAGAGAGATACATGCGGAAACTACTTTTATGTCTCCTCGGGTTCCTGGCCTCTGCGCAAGAAACCCAGTGGGGGTAATAAAAGTTTCAGACCGTGTCTCAGTGACAAAAAAATGTGAACTGCATTAAAATTGAGAACCGCCTTAGCTTTTATTGATTTGGTCTCGTAAACTAGCGACACTTTAGTTTTGGAGGCAAGCAACACTCAGAGCAGCTAATTATTAATTTAAGAATTTGGTGTGTGACTCATTGTAGCGATGGCTAGTCTGTTTCTAAGAGCTATGAAACATTTGTAAGCCTGGGCACCGCAGTATAATTTGAATGTCTCACTGTACCTGGAATTCCTCAAAAGTCAACGTTATGCGTGAACCATGAGAGACCTCAATTTTCCACAGGCAGTCTATGTCATCTGGGTAGCTGAGAGGAAAGTTGGGAGTTTGGATATCTCCAGAGTCAGCTGTCAGATCACCGCCACATTGAACTTATGGTGCAGAAAGAAACAAAACAAAAAACACAGCAAAAAATCACGGCAGTACATGGAAGGCATTTCAGTCGTGATAAAATTACCTGGGCAATACTTTTCGTAAACTAAAATAACTTATCTAATCACAGCATTAGAAATACAACGGTGTGAACCCGTGTTATTTACTGAACTTAATTGATTTCTTTAGTTGATAGGGAGGGAGAATTTTATTCAAACGTGTTGTTCTATCTTACAGCGACATAACATAGAACTGAACAAAAATTTGGGAAGCAATCCATACTGCTTTTCCATATCTTAAAAGGGCGAGATGAAATGAAGTGGTGGATGAATTTATAAACTAGCGACCGAGGCTCAGTGCACTGATTTCGGGGTCTGGACAACGCTTTCAGGTCCCAAATTACCATCTGGTGGATGGGGTAGTTTGTGATCTGAACACTTCGGTATCATCTGCATAGGGTAAGAAAACCGAGCTAGACTTTACTTTGGTCTTCTGGCCTCAAAATTTGGCAAGAATACGTTTGTTGCTTGCGGAGAGTATTCCCTTTGAGTCCAAAAAGAACACTGCTGAGATGAATTTCAGTTTGACGATGATGCCTTTCAGCATTTCCGCCATCGAATCGAAAATCCTGTTGCGCTAATACAAATTTTGCGGGGATACTGAACAATAAAATTATTTGTCGTCTAGCCTTGTTATATCTACGAAGCCACGGCATAGTTCTTCATTTTGAAATGTTTAGTCAATCCGTTTCGATCCCCCCATCCTTACGCTGCGAATAATCAAGATAAATGATTAAAGGGGTTAGATGGGGGAGTATAGCAACTTGACGAAGGGCTAACGCTCGAAATGTCATATTTGAAACTCTTAATGTTGGCCAATTTACATAATAATCTCAGTTGATAAAACCAAAATTACCTTACTTTTTTTTTTTTGGAACTCCTTAAGAGGTCGACTCGAACTGTGTTTAAAGTGCACCTAAACCCCCAAAATGATTTTTTTTGCTTAACGAAATAAGCGTCTGTTTTGCAGTATTCCTGTGTAAAAAGTTTTTTATTTGCTCAAATCTTCAATTTTCGTCGTCAAATCGAGAACACGAAAGTCTGCATTTCACACATGTATGTATTTCATTACATGTATGTAATAGGGGTCTCAATAGCAGTCAGGTAATCAGGGTAGATTCCCTAGCTTGAAATGTACTAACTACCCACTTGTGAGTTACAAAATGTTTCCCGTCCACGCAGGACTGGTAATCTACGTCATGTATTGTTGATATTATGGTATATGTGCTCAGACCTCCAGAAGTCAAAGTTCGGTCCTAAATGTTTGTTTATTTTTCTCATGAATGTTTTCTTTTTGTTTCCTGCGAGTCCACAAATCTTGTAAGTATGTTGTCACTGTAGTATTTTCGTTTCGCTTTGTTTTGTTTATGTTTGTTTCCTTTATTGTACAGTCAAACCAGATCTTCATGAAATTAAAAACTTATTCGAGCATTCAAGTGTACACCACTTGCAGCCTTTACTTAAGTCATTGCACTCCTAACTCTAACTTCCTCCAAAAATTTCTAATTAAAAATAGACTGACTTTGAGGAGCAATAATTAGCTATGCAGATTGAAAAAGACCTGAAAATGTAGTAAAATGCAACTGCAAAAGTCTCTCAGTAGAAGGCCATTTTCCCTGCATGCAAACAAGATTTCCTCCCTGCAGTCAAAATTATTCCCTTTTTAATTGCTATGTTAAACTTAACCCATTTGTATCATCTTTCATTGAAACACAATGTGTAATAACTATGATTTTACATTGTCACAGCATGTACTGAGAAAGAGGGAAAAAATGAAAGCAAAGCAAAACATACTGTTAATTCAAAGAGATGCAAACGTTCCCTTCATTCCCCTTTTAATTTAAGGTCATTAATACATATGTTTAACCATGCATACTTGGCATATGAATAAGAATTTAGTACTGTTGATGCCACGGTATCATCGTTTGGAATAATACCTCTTGCCATACCAAAGTCAGGCAGGGAACAACCTAATCAAGCATTAATGAAAATTCTAAACTGGGTCATCAAACTATTTGCATATACATACCACCCCAAGGAGATCTGTACACATAGACTTGATATCACACTAAAACTGAGAAGTGGAACACAAGGCACAGTTGACCCATTCAAAATTGGTGGTATCAGTGATCAGCTAAAAGCTCGCACAGCAAAATGGAATATACATTATTTTTTACACAATTAAGAGGAAGGTGGAAGGTAAGAGCTCTTGATCTTTTTTTATTTCTTTATTCTAAATGCTAAACTATGTTGCTGGCTAAGTCTGGAGAGAAATCATAATTATTATAGTTTTCTTAAAAATGTGCATGTTTTTTAATGGGAAAGTAAAAAGAAAAGCAATCACTATAATGTTAATGGCCATATACATATGTACATTGTGCTCCAATAGCTAATAGGCTATGTCCCATCAAAGAGCAAGAACTACCCACTTCATGATATGAGAAAAAAGGTTATCATACCTCCACTGGAAGCTTGTGTACCTGTAAAAACATTTCAATAAAATAGTTAGGTTCTAACAAATTCTTACCTTTCAGTATCACATCACCAGTATATTTAAGTGTATAAATATTAAATAGCTAGCAAGAATCTTCTACAAAACCTTGGCATATAATCACATAATGTTAATGAATATATTTCATTTTGAATCAATATGATGTTCATGGGTAAACATCATTGCAGTCTATGATGATGTACATGGAGGTTTGTTCCATATTATCATGATATGCCTTTGCTTGATGATGCACAAGAATGATGCACTACATAAAAATTAGTTATATATTGCACACAATGATTGGGTTCTAATGAATTCTACACCTGATTTGCCCTCTAAGAGCGACTGGCTTCTTACCTCTCCCTACAGTGTCAATTTCTAGAATCAAGTGTAAAGGTAATCAGAATAAAGGAAATGGCAATCAGTTAAGGGATCAACTCTTGACTGTCAAACAAATTCTTCTTGTCAGTACCATCGAAAATTTCATGCAGCCAGTAATTTTGACCTCATCCAGTGGATAAACATCAAAATATCACCTGAGACTTAGGGCATTATCCACAGGATAATGAGATTAAGAGTTCCAATGTCCAAGGTTTAATTTACAACTCTGAGTTTATTTTTGGAAAAAATCAGAGAACCATCAGGGGCTTGAATTTAATACATGACCAGCCACAACCTAAACTAAAACAAGAGGAAGGTCATCCAGCCTACATTCCAGGAAAGGCATTCCCCCCTCCATTTCCAGGAACTACCTATAATTTGGAAAAAGGGTGTTATATTGAAAAGACAAATTTTAGGGGAGCATTTATCTGAGAGGAGCACTTATTGAAATAAGGGCAATCAATTGCATAATTTCAGTAACACTGTTCCTGCATGTTCCCTGTTCAGAGAACCCATTCCATAAAAATAACCACTGACAGTTACATTACCATTCACCATAATCACTCTTTTTCTACTCAAAAAAATGTCCAAATTTGGCAATCCGAGCTTTTTCTTCGGCACTTTGTTCAGGGCTTTGAGTGCTTTCACCAAGTAAAATTGTTAAACCCTGGAAGCATTAATCTCGGAAAATCCAGACGATATTATTTCTGTTCATTATACTAAATTCATTACAATTGGACGGGGGAAACCCCAAATTTCCGTGAAAAGAACAATCATGCAGTCTTGAATATACATGACAATGCGAAGCTTAATTTTAAACCGAAAACATGGCTTATAACCACCAGCACATTATGTTTTCAGTTCTTACCATGAAACTAGGGAAGGCAGCAGAAGATGATAAACATTCCACAATCATGTCAGGATTGCGGGCGATTTTCATAACAATAATAATAATAATAATAATAATAATAATAATAATAATAAACATATTTATGTAGGATGACGAATTCAGTTATAAAAAACTGCTATGAACATGAGACCTGCGTCAACATGGGTCCTGCGAAGAGTTTTTCTTGCAGAAATAACTTAGTGAGTTAGATCTGTGCATCATGAAACTACAAGAAATATTTTTTTTCTTAAAGAGAGAGCTTTTTACCACTTAAATCAGCGAATTATGCAGGTTCGAGGGTATAATCTTTTCGGTTCTAGCCGTGACAGATTGTGACACGCCAAGGACTTGTCGTGACACACCAAGGGCTTGTCGTGACACCATGGAAGACAGCAGAAAGCGATGAACATCTGACGATCATTTCAGAATTGTGCGCGATTTAAAACAGATGTTTTCCTTGCAGAAATATCTTGTGTGATCGGTGCATTATACTGGAACTAAGCGGAAAATGTTTTTCTTTGAGGAGAGATCAGCTGGAAAAAAGAATCCGTACTACCGTAGCATTTTGCGCGATACTTTATCTTTCTTTTTAGAATGAGATGGATTTGCGGGCTGCTAAATTTTGCGAAGCGAGCAAGCTGCGAAATAAGATACCTTGAGTTATTCAATTCAATTCAATTCTCTGAGGCTTAGACACATATGAGTCATAATACCTATGGTGTAAGAAACATTTGAAGATGGCAAAATTATGTTTCGCAGTAAAATAACATAAACACTGAGATGGAAAAAGCGGCGGTGCGATAGATATCATACAGAGTTCGACGATTAGCACTATGCCAGAACGAGAAAAGCGCTATAATAAACAAATCGTTATACTTTCATACAAAACGAATCATTTTACCTGCATCCTAGTGGGAAGATGACAAAACGCGGAGCCCTACTTAATATGGACATAGTTAGTAGAGGAGTACCCATGGTGTACCTAAATGGAGTACCCCTCAAAAACATGTATCGGCCAGATAAAATACTTTATAACGATGGTAAATCGTTTAGTTGTATACATCTTAATGTATTTTGATCTTGCTAGCTGTATGATTGTCAAGTTCGATACAGTCCACGAATTGACCGCCATCTTGAATTTAACGTTAAACTGCTGGCCACTTCGAACGGAAGACTTAAATGAAATGTAATCTGTGAAAGTTTTCTTTAGTGGACCGATTACCATCTTCATCTTATGATCTTCGAGAGGCCAAAAGGCAGCGGGTTTTACGTCTTTCAAAATACCTGTGTATGTAGGGTGTCTGCAAGAGGTGTGGCGTTTAATCTATCAACACAAGTTACACAAGGCCTCATGTGTTTCTTAATTGTGTGAAGCGATAAGGATAAAAGCTAGGAGTTAAAAAAAAGTAATTCAGGTGTTTAACCTGACCTCCTCTTCACCCATCTATTTGTAGCGTAATAAAGTTGAGATATGTAAAGAAACAACAGCAACAACAAGAAAATGCAGTAAGCTGAAATATTTTACCTCGTGCAAAACTCGAAAGAGTGGGTTTTGTTCAATTATATGGAGTTTTTTTGTCTTCCAGTCAAAGGACTCATTACACACCGGTAAAACCAAAATGGAGGAACTAGTAAGACTTAGAGTCCTCTGCCCCGCTAAAAGACTGGACTGTATCGAACTGTGACAATCGGAGAGCTGGCAAGCTCAAAATGTATTAATAACAAGATGTCTACATCTATACGAATTACCATGTTTGTGAAGTATTTTATCTGACCAATACATGACTTTTTGGGGTACTCCATTTTGTCATCTCCTATAGGGAATTCCCATTCGGCTTTCTGAAGGGCCAAACCGACAGAAAAAGTTCCGATGAAAATAGAATTGATTGTGGCCAATTCAGAGTTTGGAGGGGTCTAAATGATAACCGTCTTTCCAATTTATTTTGGCTCAATTTGTCCAATCCAGCTCTTTCCATTTTCAATGTTTTCCATGAGAATTATTCGTGTCAAACACAGACTCTTCGTAAACTTCTATTTATGGCAATTTCACCCTCAAGCAAGGCATGTCTTAGACATTAAATTGCAAAGAACGAAGCTATCGACTGAACCTGATTGTAGGGAAGTTATTAAGCTTCAAGTTGGGCCTTCCTTCTCTTCAATAGTGAATTTATCAAAGAGATAATGCTGATATGCTTATTCACAGTGACATTATGATACGTTACCTGCGACGTGTCCATGAGTCCAGACCAGAAATGCACATAAATACAAGAAAAAGTCCATTCTCAGAGAGAGATGAGTCTGGATCACAAAGTACAGAGTCTGAAATATTTTGAAAATCAGATACGACTTTATGCTGCTTAAATCTTCCTGTCTAATGAGAAAGCATAATGGTGGATTAAGTTGACCTTCCTGTTCCCTAAAGTTTCATTCCCAAAAATGGAGTGAGTCAGCACACGCAAGGAGTGGTGGAGTGATTAGAGGAGACGCTACGGGAAATAGAGACAACATTTCAACAACAAGGAAAGAACAAAAATGTCAAGAGATACATTTACAAAAACCAAGAGGGTAATGGATATAAATGATGAACAGATCTGAGGAAGTGGGTTTTAGTTAACCTAGGAGGGGGGCATTGGGGTTTGCGGTTTTGGCTATTTTTCTTATCGATTTTTCCGTTTTTGCGTCAATAATTTTGACAGGTACTCAGATTTGGTATCCAATGTGCTTTTTGGGTTTTTCGTATTGGGGTTCCGGTTTCTCTTCGATCTGAGCAGCAGTTATACGCCTCTGCTGATGTCGAGTTGCTGCTAGACCTATGTTGCTCCTCTTGTAACCACAGTATCAGATCGATTAGGATTTTGACAACTGAGATGTGTAAATTTATCGGTTTAGACGGTTTTGCATGCGGTTTTCGGTTTTGATCGAATTTTTTTGCGATTTTGCGGTTTTTAATAGACCCACTAACCTCCTCACCTAGTGACATCGGGATAGGATGGAGGTCCTCTTTACAATTACGTACTTTCGAGTCACATATTCCTGTATCGAGTTTGTTTTCAGTTTCAGTTTCGAGGCTTTTGACGAGAGACTTAATTTGGACAATCAACTAATTTTTAAATTTTTTCTTGTCTTTCGTGCTGAATATGTCTAAACTGGGAGAACGCGAAGGCGTTAGGTATGTACATTTACGTGACGGAAACAGATGGATGGAAACAAAATTTAATTTGATCGATTTAAACCAATAAGAATCGAAGAAAATTTAGTGGTGAACTATAAAGCGTCATAGTCACACTTTAAGCGCTACATGTGTGCTTTGCCGACGAGTCCAAGATTCCAGACCAGAAATACACATAAATATATGAAAAAGTCCATTCTCAGAAAGAGATGTATTTGGGAATCAAAAGGCACTGAGTTTGAAATACTCTGAAACCCAGCGACGGCTTTAGGCTATACAGTGTATACATCTTCCTGTCTAATTAGAGGCGTGGTAATAGATTAAGTTCGATGTCCTGTTTACTAAAACGGCGTCATTCCCCAAAAATGGAGCGAGTTAGCAAGCACGAATGGTGGAGCGTTTAGATGAAACGCGACGGGAAACAGAGATACAAACTTTTATTAAGAAGAAAAGAATAAAGATATCAAGAAATATATTTACAGAGACCAAGGGAATAATGAGTATAAATAATAAACCAATCCGAGGAAATAGGTTTTACTCGAGTTGTGATGTCCAGATAGGGTGGGTACCCTCTTTGATTACGACGTTTCGAGTCACATATTCCTGTATCAAGTTTGTTTTCAGTATCAATTTCGAGTCTTCTGACGAAGGACTGTTGACAGTCAACTAATTAATTTGAAAATTTTCCCCGTGTTTCGGGCTAAATATGTCTAAAGTAAAGGAATACCGGGGCGATAGGTATGGACTTAACGCGACGGACAGAAACTTCGAGTAGCAACCAAAGCTTTCGTCTAACCATGGGATCCTCTTATAAAACTGAGACGCCAGACATGTGTGACAGTGTCATATCAACATAATTGTAAATGTTGATTGGGGTAGTAGAACAGAAGTGCAGTGGGAGTCAAGGATTCTCTCAGGCTCCCTTCATGTGAATCCAGTGAACCCGGCTTACCCTGTTTATAAGATCTCGCTTCGCTTCTCTCTCTTCTGTAGTGATCGACGAGGGCGAGCGAACCTTGTTAAGTCGTTAGCTGCGATGGCAAACTTTCCCATCATTTTGAACATAGGACCGTGGTTGACAGTAGGAAATTGAAAGGTCACGTTTCCTTCAGCTCGGTGACTCGGAGCTTAAATGATTTCTTGTATGACTATTAACTGGGTTTTAAACCCAGCTCTGTAGCTGAAACGAAATTTTCCAAATGCATAAATTGCCCCACTAAGCCAGCTTGATAGCCGAACTCATACACAAATACTCTTTAGATCCATTCGCATCTGTATGGCGGGAAATTCAGCGTGTTGCGCGACACACATAATATTAATCTGGACCTCAGCCAACCGCTGTTAGAAAAATTATCGCTGACCGGATACAAGAATTGGACAGAAATCGAACCTACCTAAACGAAAATTATATCAGTAACAATGAATTAAGTTATGGACTCGATTTTCCCTCACGCCTGATCTCTTTTGAGTGTTTTTTCCAGTCTTTATATTCGCAAGTTATTCAACAAAAGTTTCTAACAAAATGGCAATGAAGTATCCGAGGGTGTGCGATTTAGCTTGCACGTGGCAGGAGCCCTAGTGGTTCCTAGTGCGGGGTTCATAAAAAAGATTACAAGTAATTGTTTCTCTATCAATCGACCATCTATTTTTTACCATTTTTTTATTGTCATCCCTTTTAAAAAAATACTTAATAAATGTCTAATACTCCTCTTAAACTACTATTGGCTCAGTCACCATGGCCAAGGTAGGCCAGCCATCATAAGAAACACCTATTTTCCTCTTGTTTGCGAGACACTAGTGGATCATAGCCAACTCGCGTAAACGCATCTTTGGAAAAAAAATCTATTGCAAATTCAACTTATCATTCCGTATAAAGCTGTAAACTGCAAGTTATCCTTACACCTGTAAGCTAGGCAAAAGACAGAAAGTTCCCTTATAGCATCATAACCAGGAAACTACCAATCTTCTTGTCGAACATGAGTAATTCCACTACTCGCCTAAGAGTTAGATAAACATGGTCAGAAATATATATGTTACCTTGATCATTAATCTATTTTTCTGTATTTATTTCTTAATTGATTTTTAATAGCTTTACCGTGCACAAGCGTTATCTTTATCTAACATGGATCCTTTTATAATTAGAGGGGGGATTACACTTCAAAAACGTATTACCTTTATAATATATTTTTTGTTCGGCATCTGCGGGGGTATAAAATTCAATATTTTAACTTCCCTTATTCTCGAAACCAAAGTATGACATACCACATTTTCATTATTCATTTTTCAATGAACGTAGTTGTTTGACTTATGCACCTCAATGAGCGATGTCAGTGGGGTCATACGGCAATGACACGCTCGCGTTCCAAGTACTACGGTAAGCCCGTATTAATGAAAATGCTGATAACACCCAACAAATAACGCAATATCTACTTTGTTTAAAGGTTTTGTCAAAGATAAAGATAATCGTTAACACATTACAAACACGCATTATCAAACCTCCATCGTCACGTTTAATAACACTTCCCCGAGAATTTACGAACACACCACGTTACCAACAATTCACCAAAAGGTCACGAAACAGCCGTTAATGGGCACGATTCTTAGGGATTGAAACTTTGGCCCATAATAATTACTCAAAAGCACCATCATTCCGGGTGAAAACAGGTCGATTTCTTCTTAAGCTGGATTCTTCGGTTTCCAGGATGTGATGCTCATTACTTTCAGAAACCATCAACTGAGTGGTAACACCCACAGGGACCAGGGTCAAATTCTCTTGAGTTTGGTCACTGAAAGAAAAATGGGGATTTTAAATCTCAATGCTGACATGCGCTCTATCTGTTTCCCCTACTTTGCCCTCCTGCACACAACAGGGCTTTAATTTCTGCAGTGGTTTTAAGTGCTCTATATGTATAGGGAAAATATGTCAATTATTATAACCAGGTTTGATTTAATTCGTAAACTACTTGTGATGGTCAAGTCAGATTTGTTTTCGACAAGACCCCTTATCTTAATTTAAAAAGCAAAGTTTGCCGGAAGTTTTAAACAATTTGATTAGAATAAAAAGCATTGTTATACCTTTCCACAGTTGTGACTCTTGCATCTGGGAGAAAAATCGAAAAACAGCAATAACAAAAATTATTTAACCAAAAGTTGATATCTGAACGGCAACGAAGTGAATAGTCACACAGAATACATTACAATGAGATAATCATTATTTTAAATTGTATTCTTAAACGGGAAGTTTTTTGGAACCTAAAACATTCAACAAAAAGTTTTGAGCACATTGTTTCTTCTTACTTCGTTTATTTTATCGCTATTCTTTCTTTTAATTATATAATAAGTGAGCAGTCGTGTAACTGGACCAATTCAGAGAGGATTCCACCCTTGTCTTGATATTCTTGACGTGATGATAGATTCTTACAAATCAACAAGTACTCACAATTACCGAGCAAATTCTACTTATTTCGAGGAAGAAGCGATGGAAATAGTTGTCTCCTTTTCTCTTGCATTTCCTCCTAGGAGTCTACCTTGTTTAACTTTATTGCCTTATTTGTTATTTCACATAGGGAAGCGCAAGTGTAAAACACTGCATTTTTTTACGTACTAGAGCGCCTCAGTTCAAATTCCTCGTTCTGACTTTCCACATTAAGGTTAGCATTGGGTGGCCTGTTGGATCTGGTTTGAAAATAAAGCAAAATAACAAAAATTGTAAAAGAGCAAAAGAGAACTAGAAGAAAAAAAAAAAGAAAAAAGTAGACGAAGTGTCTTGCGGCAGGGATTCAAAACATAAGCCGGTGTTGTGCGACCAGCTTGACCACGGTATTCAAGAATGAAATATCTATCTCGCCAGGCGCCTGGCGCACCAATTCAGCATTAACCCTCTTTTGACAGCGACATCTTAAAAAATTTGGTTGGCTTAAATAATCATTGCAATTATCATTTTTGTTTGTCTGGCCATTACCTTTGATACAGATGAAATGCTATGATAGCAATCACGATAAGTATCAGCACTCCCAGAACACCAGCGATTACACCAACCATGTTGTCACCTTCCTTAACGACTGGTGACTC